ATCATCATCATCATCATCATCATCATCATCATCATCATCATCATCATGGTCATCATCATCATCATCATCTTTCTTTCGAGACGCCCTCTGGTCATGGAGGTAGCGTTGACCCCTGCGGGAACTGGGTCAGGCACGCTCCGTGGAGCCTTCCACGGACCCTTAGCTGAAAGATTTGGCAAGCTGCAATGCCAACTGTTGGCTTTCTTCCGAAGCCTTGGCATACTGAGCTGCCCTCAAAAATCTATTCAACACTCCAAAATTCAGCAAGCACGGACAGGTATGTTCGTCCAAAGATCCTTTCGAGCATGATACGGATGGCAGGCACAGACCCGTCCAGGTTTGGCCTCCACCATGAAATCCTGCATTAGGCCCTCAGCCAGCTGCTCAGCGGCATGGAAGTGCTCTGCATGCTGCCGGCGCAAGTGCTCCAGGAGGTTCATGGGCTGCATGCTGCACAGCACGCAGGTGAAGACCAGCTGCCGGCAGACATCCGGCCAGCGCAGCAGCAGTCCGATATCGAGATCGTCGATCGATTTCAGCCAAGTCGCATTCCAAGGACATCCAGGAGGCGCTGCCAGGGACAAATTCTCCAGCATTTTTTCACGGGTCAGCAGCGCCATGGTGTTCTCGACCGAGGGAGCAGGTTCGGGATCGACCAGCATTGCTCCTCCGTGTTGGCACGTCAACCATAGCAGGCAACAGTTCCTCAGTGCCGGTTCCGGAAGTGAGCATTCGATCGTTGGAGGGGCGGCGTCATCGAGCATGAACCACTTTGTTCCTGTCCAAACTGCCGTCCTATAGTGGCCAGAGTGAGGATCATCACCTAGGTGAAAGGACGTAGCAACCACCTCATAGGGAACCCTGTCAATATCCATGGAGGAGTTCGTGAAGTAAGGAAGGAAGACAGGTGAGGTCCATTGTAGTTTCTGAAAACTTTTGTGCCCCTGTTGATCAAACCGATCGATTTGAATGCACAGCAGATCTGAAACCCCCGCAAGTGCTTGTAGACCATACGATTCCAGGCTCCAGGTGGTGAGCAAGTCTTGCAGCTCTGTGGTGTCACCATTTCTGCCATCACAGAGGTAGAGCCGCATTGGGCAGTAGTGAGATCCACTGTCTACCGTTTTGACTTGATCATCAGCATCCACCCTGGCTTCCCAGAGATTGCTGAGGAAATTCGGTGCTACCAATGAGAGCAGGTAGTGCGTGAAGTCAACAATGTCATGCTGTACGAAGGATCATCATCATCATCATCATCATTGATCGCTACTATCACAGCATCATCATCAACAGCATCATCATCATCATCATCATCGTCATCGTCATCATCATCATCATCAGCATCATCATCTACATCATACATCATGACATAACATGTGGGTTTTGCAGGTGTGGGTTTTGCAGGGGTAGGTTTTAAAGATGTGGGTTTTGCAGGTGTAGAGATACGGGTGTAGACATGTAGGTGTTGAACACCTACAAAACATTTAAAACACCCACTAAATCTCACCAACGAAAAAGCACTTCTTTACAAGTGTCTTTCTACTCTTGCTCACGATACGTGACCCTCTGCGAGGATCGTGCATGTCGAGCGCTCAAACGTGTGGTGAAACGTCGATCGCGTTTGACCCCGAGCGACCCTCTGCGGGATCGTGCGTGTCGAGCGCTCAAACGTGTGGTGAAACGTCGATCG